ACAAAGTTCTGTTTCTCCGCAACGACGATCCTTAAGTGTTTTAATTCAGTGATACCCCAATATCTGCTCCTAGTTTCGAGGAATTGGAGCAAACCGGGCATCACAGAACGATAAAAATTTCTCAAAGTCACTGACTTTTTTCTGTGCTATAGGGCTATTACTTTTAACCGGGTATCTGAGATATTCGGGTATTCGAGTACCCATGAGATACTCGGATAGATGAAAATAACCCGATCGACCTGGGTACATAAAACAGTCGAAATCTCGGTGGCCACTACCGCTGGTGGTTCCCCGGGCAAACAAATGCGTATCGGTCGCGATAGCGATGCAACGATGCCGACGTGTCAAAGTGCACCTGTACCCTACACAATATTGTTTTGAATCCTCTGCCGAAACAGTCGAGGAATAATAGATATCTACTCTCAGCTATCTCATCTCATGAGATACCCGGATAATTTCTATTTACCCGGGTACTTTCTGATTACCCGATTATTTCACGAGTAACCTGGGTACCCGGGTACCTCTTAAGTAACAGCTCTAATTTGAACTCACATCCATCGCGTTCATATTTGAACTCTTAGTAATTCAGCTAACACACATGTGTATATAACCAATTACCGAAAACCCAAAAATACACTCACCATTCGTAGATCAAACATCTAGGCACTGCAACATTGATTTGGCTGCACCTCCTCCTCTTCCTCTCAGAATCAAGTCTTTTGAGTCGTCTTCTTCAAGTCTTAGCCTTGACTTAGCAAGATCCACAAATTGTGGGTGGCTGTGGAATGGGCGCACGCGAAATGTATACGAAACACGATTTATTTGAGATATTTTCTTGAGAGGGGGAATCGCGATTTTATATTATTCCTGATTTTTATAATGAAGCTAAATTTAAATAGAATACGTGTAAAAAAAAAGTGTGAAATAAACGCGATGTATAAAGAAAGCGAAGTAAGAAACCGCGAATTAATATCTTTCTTAATTTTATAATATAAATGAATTTCGATAAAATACGTGAAGATATGTATATTTGAGGGAAAGAATTTAAAGAATTAAATAGAAATCGAACTAGGGATGAAGCTATTATAAAACGCGATGCAATGACTTTGGTATTTATCAAAATTTGAAAATTCTCGTATGTTTTCGGAAAATAAATTTTTAATTACGATAAACCAGTGAGACGTTTTAATTAAGGGTGGGCATATTGCGCGAGTACAGTGGCAGCCGTGGCAATTCAGCTCATATTTCAGCTTACAATATGAAATACAATAATACAACAGCAAGCTACTTAATCGTGCATGTTTATTCAGTAAAACAAATTTAAAATTAATTTTTCAATAGCAGAGAAAACGTTAGAAACATTGGAAAAATAAAACAAATTAGAAAAACTGAAACAAAATTAAAAAATTTCGAATTTGTTTCAATAGCTGGAAGAAAAGTACATATTACTGATTAATAACAATGGCAAAAGGTATTAAATTTAGAAATCAGTTGTAACAAAAATTTATTTAATTAGTAAAATCATTTATTAATTTCTGAAGGTTAAAACATGAAAATCTATATTTCATTAACAAAGTCTCAAGTTTATTTAAATATAAAAATACAATCAATATCCTATTCGACAAGTGTGAAGAACGATGACTGAAATTGAAATCTTGATTTCCCTAAACCCCCAAAATAATTTCGAAAAATTTCATTCGAAGTGGACTATTCAACGTTTGATAATAATATTCTAATGTGTACTAACAATTCTAAAAATTATTTTATTGTATTTTATTTAAAAAATGAAAAAATTTGGTA